GATACCAAGATGTGACAAGAACACATTTTGAATACAAGAAATACAAGAAAATTGCAGACAATATGTCCCATAAACATAGTAGTAAAAATCATAAACAAAATATTAATAAGGGTCAGGCCAGATGCTGCTGTTGCTGATGATAGAGGAAAGACGAAGAGGAAAAGATAAGAGCAGGTAAGATTTGCCAGGAGTTGATAACATTTGAAGGTGTTGGAAGGGTTAACTAAAATGTACTTATGTGTATATCTGAAAATGAAATTTCTCATAATAAAATATATAAACACGACATCTGTTGGATATGTTTTACAAATAGATAAAAAAGAAAGTTGCAGAACAGAATATACTTTTATGTATAGAATGAAAATAATAAGATCAGGCCCTCCCTGGTGGCTCAATGCAGCACTATGAAGCTGTCTGCAGCTACTGCAGCGCCAGTTCAATCCCTGGCCAGGGAGCTGACCCACATAGCGTGGCACACCTCTCCTGACCTGCGCACTGCTCCCCTCAGCAGTGGATTTCAGTACATCTAGGCATATGTTCTGCTCCCCATTCTGTCTCTGGTGAATCCCCTCACACCCCACACACACACCTCTGGCCTGTACCCCAGTTCTTGTATACATAAATAAATAAATATTAAAAAAAGAATAAGATCACTCAAATGCACTTATACATATATACTTACACCCACAGAAGAGTCTGGAAGGATCATTCCCAAACTACAGAGTACTAATTATGTCAGGGGAAAAGGTAGAAGTTAGATTACAGAGATATTTCACTGACTAATTTTTAATTGCTATATTATTTACACTCATTGTCCTATGTAGAGATGACCTTTTCAAGAAGGGGGAAAAGGAAGAGCAGAAAAGGAATTGGCACTGAGCTGGGGAATAAGCCCAGAAACCCTGAGTAAAGAAACATGGAAAGTCAAAAACCAGCCATGGCCCAGGCCTCTCCCAGAAAATTTTAACTAAAGACAGCCTCTTTGAAGCAACTACTGACACCACACTAAGCTGAGACCAGTGGTCTTTAGAAAAGCTCAACAACAAAATTTCGTAGGGTAAAAGCCTAGGAACTTTGACTTTCTGTGAAGCTGAACTGATGAACTAATTTCTCTTGATGAAGAAAACAAATTGTTCAAGCAGTCAAGTGTTCTCTTTTTACTGCCAGGAAATTCACAGACATGTTTGGTTCACTTTATATTAAATAAGGCAGGATGATCTGTGTATCTTCATAGCAACTTGTCTGCACCTTGATCTTCTATTCTCTAAATTTCTGTAATTATTAGTTTCAATTAATTGTCCTTTCCCACTCTGTTGGACAAAAACCAAATAGTAAACAAACAACTTATCTGAGACTCAATAATGTTTTATTTTCCTTGGGAAACAAATTGGGGATGGAGTGGGGTATAAAAGAGTTTTTCAGAGACCACGTTGGTAGCATTTGAAATGTGGTATTAATTCACTGATAAGTTGTTTCTTATCCAACCCAGTGATTCCAATTCTAGAATTTTGTCTTAAGGTAAATCATATATGCTGTGAAGATTTAACTGCAGGAACCGTCATCACAGCTTTGTCTTTAACATTATATCAGAGGGCCTCCCTGGTGAGGCAGGGTTTAAAGTCCCAGCACTATCAAGCTATCGCCAGTGCCAGTCACTGTGACATGAGTTCGACATGAGTTCAATCCCCGGCCAGGGAGCTGACCTACATGGCACAGCAGGTCTCTCCTGCTTCATAGATCTGCCTGTTCTGCTCCCCACTCTCTCTGGTGAATCCTGTCACCCCCGCCCCCCCCACCTCCCAGACACCTCTAGCCTATACTCTGGTTTTTGTACACATAAATAAATAAAAATAAAATCTAAAAAAAAAACCCTCTAAAATATTTGAAATAACCTCAATGCCCAGTCACTAAAGGCTGAAAAATAAGCTAAAGAGACCCCAAAAGATGGAGAGGCAGGTAACCATGAAAAGCAGCACATGAAGAGCATCAAGAGACACAACAACTAAAGCGAAAGTACAGACCTTGTCTGGATTTTAATTCGAACACACGAAAAAAGAGCTTCGAGATAATGAGTAAAGTTTGAGCCCTGACTAGATATTTGATGATATTAAGGAATTTAATCACTGATTATCCAAAAATAACTTTTTACTTTAATTAATAACTGTTGACCTTTAAGTCCTTATCTTTTACAGTTACATAATGAAGTTTTTGTGGATGAAATGTTATGTCTGGAAGTTGTTTCAGAATAAATGGTCTACATATGTTAAAATACACTAAGCAGCACTTAATATTTGTGTATTTTGTTATATATTAATTTAAAAAGAAAGAAAAACCCACTGAGAGAAATGAATGGCTGGTCTAGATTACTGCTTGGTAAACTTTCTTCTGTAAAGGGCCAGAAAGTAAGTATTTTATTACAAAATTATGAAACTTAAGGTCTTTGTTGCAACTACTTAACTTTGCCATTGCAGGTTAAAAACAACCAGAGGCAATATGTAAACAGATTGTGTTCATTGGCTGTGTTCCAATAAAATCTCATTTCTGGGAACTATAATTTGAATTCTATATCATTTTCACATATCACAAAATATTGTTCTTCTTCTAATACCCCTCCCCCTCATTAAAAATGGTGAAAATTATCTTTAGCTTATGGCTATATAAAGGCAGCAGCCGGCCAGATTTATCCCATTGCCTATAGTTTTCCACTCCCAGGTCTACATAAGACAAGATTGACCATATTGATTATTGATGGTACTAGGTTATAGGCATAATGGGACTCATTACACAATTCCCTCTGGTTTTTTTTTTTTTTTTTTGTGAACAGTTCAAAGTTTCCATAAAAATAAACTAAATAGCACCATGGAAGTAAGGTTAATGACATGGAACAACAGTAGCAAAATGAAGCTCATGCTCCCAATTGTTTAATAACAATCTGTCCCCCAAGAGATAGTTTGTGACCCTCCAAAGCTCTGACAAACCTTATTCCTTGGTACTTAATTTTTTTCATTAGATTTCCTTGGGTATTAAATGAGTGGCATTGACCTTCAGTTCATGGAAGACCATGAAACAGATGCAAACTCTGCATAACAAAACCATGCTGAATAGATAATAATAAAATGTTTGATCACTTAATTATGCTAACACTCGCAGGAGGGGCCCTGCAATTATCCTCATTTCACAGTAAGAAAACTAAGACCTAGAAGAGGTTAAGTGACATGTCCAAGATTAAGCAACCAATGATTAGAGGGTGAGTTGGTGGGAAAATGGAAGCAGAAAAGTCATCTTTTTTTTTTTTTTAAAGATTTATTTATTTATTCATATAGAACTGGGGTACAGGCCAGAGATGGGGAGGGTGAGAGGATTCATCAGAGACAGAGCAGGGAGCAGAACAGGCAGATCAACGAAGCACACTGCTGAGGGGAGAAGCGGGCGGGTCAGGAGAGGTCTGCCACGCCATGTGGTCACCTCCGGGGCAGGAATCGAACTCATGCAGAAGTGACCCAAGTTTCTCAGTGCTGTGCTTTAACCCCCTGCGCCACAAGGGAGGGCCCAGAAAAGTCATCTTTAACTGGAGATACCAAGATTTTAATAGATAGAACTCTGTCTGCTTCTGGATGCCCCAAAATATTAATTCTCTTAAATTACACAGAACAGGGCCTTCCCTGGTGGCGCAGCGGGTTATAGCACAGCACTAAGAAGCTAAAGAAAGCCACTTCAGCATGAGTTAGATCCCCTACCACCCGCCTCAGAGGTGACCCACATGGCCTGGCAGACCTCTCCTGACCCGCCCACTGCTCCCCTCAGCAGTCTCCTTGTCAATCTGCCTGTTCTGCTCCCCACTCTGTCTCTGGAGAATCCTCTCACCGCCTCTGCACCTCTGGCCTGTACCTCAGCTCTGTATGCATAAATAAATAAATCTTTTAAAAAATTATACAGAACACTGTTGTAGTTGTTTAACTCAAGAATAACAAAACATTAAATTTACATCATGCTTTACAGTTTAAAATTGACTAAGCTTTAATAGTGAAAGCCACAATAAGAAAAAGATGCTAAAAATTAGAAAATATTTGTAAAATACCTATCACAGATAAAGGACTGATGGCAGAATATATATATTTTTAATTTATACAAATCAATAAGGAAAAGACAGAAAATCCAAGGGGGAAAAAAGTGAGCACAAAATGTGACCAGGCATCTAACAATGGGGATCTCCAATGACCAATGCATGTATGAAAGGTACTCATGGGGGAACTATAAATTAAAATCTCAATGTCTGACTCTTACATTGGGATGTTGACCTCAAGGGAAGGGATTTTTGTTTATTCACAGGAGGTATTATTGATCTCAAAGTGCCACCATCAGAGACCCCACAGAATCCAAACACTGACCCCACAAGTTCCCATTCCTGCCTCCAAAGGCCCTTATCCCCTCACCCTAAAGACTCCCTCCCTCACCTCCCCGTTCCTCCATCACTCATCCCAGATCCCCCCATCATTCACCCAACAGATCCTCCACCACTCACCCCAGATATCTCTACTCTTGATATCTCTTGAAGCCCGTCATTCACCCTGATGACACCATTGCTCACTGAAGCTCTCCCCCATTACTCAACCCCACTCTCTTTCAAAACTCATCACCATAAACTCCCCGTTGCATATCCCACACGCCGTTATCCCTAAATGTAGACTTCCCTTTCACTGTTCTATACATCATTCAGTCCATAAGAGCACGCATTAGTGCTTCCACATGTCCCCATCACTGACCACACCGACCAGCATGCTCAGCAAGGCCCCCCTCACCCTGGTTCTGTTCTCAGGACCCCAAAGCTCCTCCTCAAGCTGGGCTTGGCTCCCCGCTTGCACAAGTGGGCTCAACATGCCCCGAAATTCCCTTTCCCTTCCAGCCCTTCTTGGTGGGCCTGGGTGACGCATCAGCTTATCGTTCCCACGCTCACAAACAGCCGCCAAACCGAGCTCTACCAGTAACAAAAATGGCGTCACCGGGTCCGCGCCAGGAACTCTGTCGCCGGCCGGAAAATGGCTGGTGCCTCACACTGCTCCTTGAAGCTCGCATTCCAGCCAGAGGATACAATTGTTTAGTTAGGGTAGTCCCCGTGATATTTTTGAGGCCGAGTATTCGGAATTGGGGCTTAGAAAGCAGTGCGAGGCCCGGAAGTGCCGCGACCGTCCGGAGCCGGTGAATGGGCGTTCCCCGGGCTTCGGCAGAGGCACGGCGAGAGCAAAGGCGTGGCGACACGGCCGAGTCTTTGATGGGAAAGGGGGACAGTGGCAAGGCCATTACTAGAGGCATCGACTGAAAGATTGCTCCAAGGAAGCCTCACTTCTAAAACATCTAGAGAAAGTGAAGAATCAACTTAATACGTTCTGTTAGGGGATTCAAACACACACCCCAACAGCCTTTAGGTGGTTGTCATCGCCCTCCCGTCCAAGTATTGTTTAAGGGAGCAGGGCCCGCCTCCATCTGTCATTCTCGGCAGTGGCTTCTCTACCCTCCAAGTCTTCCATTGGCTCCTTCCAACGCGGAAGGACCCGCCTTCGCCTGTCACTCACCACCTAGACTTTCTATCCACATCTCTTGAAGTGTGAGGACATGGCTTTTCACACCCCATATCAAAGCTGAAAGCGTTAAAAGAGTCGGGGCTTCAATGTAAACTCGATTTTAGAAGACTGAACAGAGGGCTGGATTGGAGGACATCCCGGAAATGGGATTAAATAGTAAGCAAAAGCCCGTTTTCTAGATCTTCTAGGTCTAGAGGAACTCTGCTGGTGCAAGAATTAAGAAAATCCTAGGATTCAAGATCTCTCTGGGGGGCATGGATGGAGAAAATTGAATCAACTCCCACCGTGCCCCCAACCCTGCCCAGCTTCAACGTCAAATCTGAAAGACATTGATGGTGGAAAAGTAGCCAGGTTCCTAAGTCATTCTAGAGTGCTTTGAAGATGGAAGCTTAGATCCAAATCTAAGATAGACCAGAGAAGTGATAATGTTATATAATTATCAAAGGCCCCCAATTCATAATCTGTGCCAAAAGGACAGGGATGATGGAATTGTGAACCAACACCTGACTTCAAGATCAAACCAAATGGGCATTCATGACAGAAGCATTAACTGTGGGCTGGGGTTGAACCTCACAGAAGAACACTAATGGTGGAATAGTTAATAATGCTTAGATTTTCCACACACACACACCTAAGGAATATAGATAGGGAGGATTTCACAGAGACCTGCAGTCAATGGGAAAGAGTTAACAGACACAAGAAAAGATTCCACAAAAGTTAATCTGCTAGTGGAAAAGTGAACAGACCTTCAAGTGTAATACACAAAAGGTCTGCTTTCAATTTTCTTTAATCAGGTTGACTGAGGTAACATTGGTTTACAACACTATATACAATGTTGTTATCATGCCACAACTAACACCAAAGCTTCAATAATCCTCCACCACAGTCCATTAGGGAGGCCCACTGCCCCCCTTTGTGCCTCCCCTCCCCTTCTGGCAGCCTCAGTTATACAGCCATATTTCATATTTCAAGGGGGGGTGTTGTTGTTTTATCTGTTCCTCAGCTATCTCACTCACCCTGACTCTATCTCACTCACACACATGAGTGAGATAATCTGATATTTGTCTTTCTCCTTCTGACTTTTTTTCACTTAGCATCATGGCCTCCAGTTCTACCCACATTGCAAGATTTCATCTATTGTTATAGCTGAACAGTAGTCCAGTGTGTGTGTGTGTGTGTGTGTGTGTGTGTGTGTGTGCCTCCACTCATCCACATGTAGGATCACCTTTGTGATCTACTTATTGGGTATTTAGGTTGTTTCCATAGCTTGGTTATTGTAAACATTGCAATGAGCCCAGGAATGCATATATCTCTTCAAATTAATGTTTATTTATTTGTTTGTTTGTTTGTTTGTTTATTTTACATCATTGTGTTCTTGTATTTTCAACTAGATAACTGGGAGGCAGAGTGCTGTGTCATATGGTAGATTTTTTTAATTTTGAGAAATATCCATATTGCTTTCCATCAGGGCTAAGCCAGTCTACACTCCTATCACACTGTTTTTTCACATTATCTACTTTTTATCCACACCCTCACCAACATCTGCTGTTTCTGTTTGTTTGTTTTTTTTATGGGCCATTCTCACAAGGGACTTTCTATCCCCAAAATGCTATACTCTTTATGTACATCAGGACCTATTCATGGTGAGCTAAATATTACATGTCTGAGTTCAAGGTAAAAGTCAAAGATTGGGCCATCCCTATCCCTGGTGGCACAAGGGGTTAAAGTGCAGCACTATGAAGCTATCAGCAGCCACTACAGCATGAGTTCAATCCCCAGCCAGGGAGCTGACCCACATGATGCAGCAGACCTCTCCTCTCTCACCTGTTTCTCCCCTTAGCAATGTTTGTGAGTCAATCTGTCTGTTTTTCTACTCACTCAGTCTCTAGTGAATGCTCTCACCCCCTGCACCTCTGACCTGTACTCCAGCTCTTGTATGCATAAATAAATAAATCCTTTAAAAATGTCAAAGACAGGGATTACAATTGAGATGGAAAAAAATGTACAAAATGATGTAAAAATAAACTTTTGTAATAAAAAAATGTCAAAGAATTATTTAAGCTGGAAAAGTTAATAAAGGCCCGGGTTGGAGGACATAGATAAGAAGTTCTGGTAATGGCTGGGATTTGCAATTGCACCCCAGGGCAATGGTGGACTATTTCAAAAATGCCTGTGTTTAGTTTCCTATTGTTGCTCTGTCAAATAACCACAAATTTACTGTCTTAAAATAACACAATTTTATTACTTTACAGTTCTGGAGGTCAGAAGTCTGAAATGGGTTTCCCTGCACTGAAATCAAGGTGTCAGCAAGGTAAGACTCTCCACACACTCCAAAGAGAATCCATTTTCTAGTTTTTTTCCATCTTACAGGTCATCTGTATTCCTTTCCTGGTGTTTGATGCCATCCCCAGTGGTAGTTTGCGGTGAATTGTTTCATTTAAGGCTAAGAGTTGACATTGCTCTTGTGACCTCAACAGGTTGTTGTGGCCCTGCTGGGTTTTCCAAACATATGACAACAGCTACTTAAGGTAATGCTTGTGACTGACTGTATTAGGATTTCGAGATTGACTGGAGATGCCACAGTCAACACCTTAGTCAAGAGGTAAAGAGACACAGAAGAACAAGGAGAGTGTAGGGAAGGGAGTCTGAGGGAAGAGATGGCGATGAAGAGAAAGTGTTAGAAAGGGGTAAGCAGACAAAAAGTAGAGATGCAATTGATGCCTTGGTGAGGCAGAGATGGAAGGTCCCCTGCCCATGGAAACACCCACCCAACTCACAAGTAAAACTGGAGGGGAACCAATGAGAATCTAATTCAGGGACCTGGCTACCCCTGACTCGGGAGAAGCCCTTGCCCTGTTATCTGTCCCACTGAGTCACTCTGCACCAGGATAAACTTATATGGTTGGCAATATTCGTGGAAACATTTCTAAGGGAAAAGGTCAGGAACTGCAGGTGAGTGACTTCCTCCCCCTGGATGGGCCTGAGGAGAAGAACTAAGGGAAACGGACAGGCTGCCTCTCTGCCAGGGAGCTGTTAGGGTATTTTCTGGGCAGGAATGAGAGTCCCATATCTGACACCCTTGGAACTTGGGTGCCAAAAGTCTATCCCCTGCATTGTGCCCCAACATATCATTTTATGGAACCCTCTGCCTCCATATAGCCAGGTACCAGAACACACCAGTTGCACCAGTGAATTCAAAGACCTAAAGGGAGCAACGTGTGTCTCTTGGGCAAATACCCTTAGCTACTCTGCTTTGCAACACTGTGGATTGAATGAAATTAAGGTGCAGGGGCCAGTGGAAACATGGGAACTTCTGGGTCAGAAGAGGAAGAATACTTGGTTAATTATTCAGAGTTTGATGAACAGTAGCATCTAGACTTTACTACCTAGAGGCAGTGTGGATGTCAATATCTTGGAGGCCGGGAGTGGACACTGTCCTTGGTGATCCAGCTGACTGGGGCTGCTATGGTAAGGACCCAGGTTATGCAGCCCATTCGCACATCAGTTCCAGAAGGTTCAGACCACAGAACTGAGCCACCATCCGAACACTGAGCCCCCAGGTATTGAGGAAACTGCTCCTACAGGGGAAGGTGGGGCAAGGTTGGCACAAGTGAACAGTGTTTCAATCATGGATGCTCTTGAACTGGAGGCTTCACTCAGCTTCCCTGGGCCGTTCTTCAGAGGCTTAACTCAGAAGCTCATTATCCCCACTCCCATTATGCCACAGTTTCTAAACCAGTCCAGTTTCCCCAAAAACACCAGTCCATATGGAGACTATGATTTCACAACATGAATCTATCTTAGCTCAATCAGCCTTTTAGTACAGAAACAAACCTGTAACCCAACGCTGTCAAGTTTACAGTGAAAGTGAAAGCCAGGAGGACTGTGGGACATCTCACAAAACAAAGGAAAAGATAAAGTTGAAGGACTGGGTGAAAGGATGAAACTTGAAATTGAAATGAGCCCTGCCACATCTGTCTACGACGCATCCTCCTGTGGCAGCACAGTGATTGTGAGGGGGCACACCTGTGTGTCTACTTCTAATACAGACTTTCTCAACCCCAACATAGTTAACATCTTGGGCTGGATAATTCTTTGGTGTAGGGGGTAATCTTGTGCAATTTAGAATGCTTAATAGCATCCCTGGTCTCTACGCATTCAATACCAATAGCCTCCCATGGTAGGATACTCTATACTAAGAAACATATTTTGTGTCTAACCCTAGTTCTCACATGGAACTCCTAAAACCTTATAATCTGTGAAAAGATAAGAGCGCTAACAGCAACTCTGGTACTAATACTGGATTTTTGCCCCTGGTTCCTGACACAAGGCTACTGAAACCCTTGCAATTTCTTAGGTGACAGGAATTTCTTTTGTTCTAAGGAGGCAGTTCTGGGTAGGCTTCTGGATGGATACTGGATGGGGTCAACACAAAGAGCAAGCCGTAATGAGAAGCCAGAGTAGCCTATCCCCCATTCTCGTGAGAAGCTCATACCCTCATGATGAAGGCTCCGTAAAACCCCCAATATATGGG